GGAGGTCTTTCTCTCCTGACTTTAAGGAAACTGACGCTGTGTAGGAGACTCCTAGATAGATTTAAAGTAAACAAATGATATATGCTACTCTAGATAAAGATATTTATAATATTCAGAATCTTCTGGACACTTTGAGCAGCATTTTGAGAGTGCTTTTGGATGTACTTACTACCACTCAAATGCAAACTGTTACTTTAGGACTGGTCTATATAACCAATTCGTCTGATAATGGGAATTAGATTAGTGGAACAAATTAATTACTTCACTTATTTAGGAAATCACATCAGCCCTAGTGGATCGGTAGTCAATGAAAAACTCCATTAGCCTCTGTTGCATTACACCACTTATTAAACCAGAGGGATTATCGAATGACTTTTAAGAGTCAAATGCATTGTGTAGTAGTTTGCTTTGTCCTCTTCTTTGGCTGTAGAACACGATTATGACAGTTGTTGGACATTATACTACCAGATGTATTCAACCAAAGCTGTATCTGAAATATATCTTGAGAACGACATATGACCAATCTTGAACTCAGGCATACCATTTTAGGTAAGAGAGGAAAATTAGTTGGTGATATTAGAAAAGTTTGTTTAATTAGATGGCTTGAAATTGTGTTGCACCATGTACTACGAAGAGCAACTTTAGCCAAAGTAGGGTTAAGTTAGAAAAAAGTTAAGACCGACCATACTAAATATGTACATCAGTTCATGAAGTCTCTTACCGTTAGTCTGAACATGTCAGAAAATATAGACTTATGGGCTGGCATCTGTGTGATAGTCAAAACCGATCGCTGGAAACTGCATCTACAATTTATCCTAATCTTAACGCTTCACTGGGTTTTTTCAATCACTCCTTATTTTTAATTGTGTCGTTTCCTAATTCTGTTGTATTGTTTGTATTTCTTTGCTTCTTATTGCTGCTTTGTATCTTAGTATGTTGAATTGAGGCGTGGCGAATCAGACCACTCGGCACCAATGTCAATTTCACTTTTGATACTGAATGAATAAAAATCACAGAAACTAGCTACAAAATACCCAGACTCTAGTAAGGTGAATTTCTCAATTTTGTCACATTGACCTGCTGAGGTCAAGCAAACAGTCATTTCACTGTGAATGACTGTTTTTCTCTCAATTTTTATATTATTTATCAAAACAAAGCCGTGATTCTTTTTTCACTTACTCAATTTTCAATTAGTCATCGCAGTGAATATCAGTTACCTAAAGGAAAACAGCTACGAAGGTACAGATGCATTTCATTAGTCATTCATGTAGTGTCAATTTGCAAGGAAGGCTATCATCAGCACAAAGTTCTGTTCTGTAAATAATATCATTATTTTGCCTCATTTCTTTCAGATTTTCCATTAGTACAATTAGATTCATGATATTTATCTTTTTTAATCATGTAGATTTTTAGCCAAGTTAACATTTTCTTTTCTATTTTATCAGAATATAATATACATAGAACCAAAATGCCAGGTATTGCATATATGACCTAAATTCCCACCAACTTTGTTCCAGCTTTGGCATTTCAACTTGACTATGTTTTCTTTGAAAATTCCTGATTACTATACTAAATATATTACATGAAAATGAATTTAACTATTAATACCACTATGAATTATCAATTGGAAGGTTCATGAGAAATCGATCAATTTCAAAACATTTTATAGCACTGATTAAAATGAAACTATCTATGAATATACTTAATTGACTCAATTTTCCTAAAAACAATTTATTGACTCATTCAATTCGGATTATCTCAACTGATTATCATATAGTGACCATGAGTGCATGCATAGCTGTTATCACTTCAGTAGACGTTAATTCTCATATACATCAATCTATTTATTGAACATTTCTGTTATTTTTACACTTTGCATTAAATATGTTCACCTTATTTGCATATATCTACTTATAAAAGAGTATGAAGGTATAAAGAATAATTTAAATCTACTGAGGTTTTATAGATTGCAGTAAGTGTTATATACATATGATATTCATCAAATGACTGATTTTACGTCTCATTGCAGAAAATATGTTACTTATTACTACACTGGTGCAAATAAGTTTGCATATTATTAGAAGTCAGTCATTCTGAGTTCGTGTTCACCGGTAAACTTATTCAACATATTTTCTCTACACAATAAATCCAATAAAAATAACTAGAATATCATTTGGTGTTTGTAGTAAAAATAATAATTAAATCGTTGCTGGCTGTTTGATAAATATTAGTTAATTCTTAAAATTTAAAAGAGTGATGACTTTATTGGAAGGAGAGTTTTGATGGTAGTAGGATTTAAACCAATAACCACTTCAACTTCCACTACCATCAACCTTACATTAGGATCAATTTGTCAAACCATTGCTTCAAATGTCTGGTAGCTATTATATCACTTATTGTCAGTGGTATACCAGTGATTGATATTTTTAAAATATCAGTTTAGTACAGGAAAACCTATATGATTCACAAAAAATCATTATTATACAATAATAAAACTAGAAAAATGAATACTCGATTTCCCATAGTCAATGTCTAGAAGTGCATCGGTTGGCTTACTGCACTAATTACAGAAAGAGGAACAAACTCAACGTAAAACTGCACACTCAAGTGTGTTGGTTCAAGTTGCCACACATTACAGTAGTGAACAAAGAATATTTGTATAAGACAGACTGATATGGAAGTTGACAAAGGTGTACGGGAGGAGAGAGGATTTAAAAACTATGGTTATTCAAAGCACTTAAGCTTTAGGATTCATCAAAGAATGAATGCATCTGGAACACTGTCACCGGTTTACAGCCATTTCACCAAGACTCCTTAACCACTGGTTCCTGTCATCTCGGGGAACTCAACCAAGTAGCCTTTACCTTCCTACACAAATCACACCGGCAGTGGGGAACTTCAATCAAGTCTTTGTCTGTCCATCCTTAACTTTTTCAACCTAGCCCAAGTTTCCCTAGCATGGCCCGTAACTCATTAACTCGCAAATTTATGCAATAACAAACCATTTTAGGCCATCATATTTTCACTAAAGCATAGTCAAAAACAAATGAAAGTCAAAAATGAGAGTTCATCTAATAAATATGTTTGATATAAAATAATGTCCATTCTCTGTAATGAAAACAACTTGATAACCCCTAAAACGTAACCGTTAAGGAACGAGCTGTACAGTTTTTACAGCAGTAAATTCATGTGAATAAGCTAACTACTTAAAACAGTGTTATTATGGTGAGTAAGTGAGTCGTCTATGCTCTAAACACAGAAAGGAGTATGTAGTATTGCGTGAAAATGCAGATAGCTGAAACAGACTAATTATTTTTATTTTTTATTCTTCCCGTAGGTTCCTAGTGGAACATAGGCATTCGGCAGCACGCCTCCTTTGCACTCTCTTCTCTGCAGTCTTTTCAACCTGGCGCCACGACTACCCAAAAGCTTTCATTTCTTCCTCACATGATCTCCTCCATGTCACCCTCGGCACCGACGCCCAACTCGTCGTTTCCCACTTGGATTCCACTCGAGGGCCTGACCTGGAGCATGATGTCCCTAGTCGGCCTTCTTAGTACATGCCCAATCCATCTCTACTTCCTGCTGCTGCATATTTGTTGGGTGATAGGCTCTTGGTTGGTTCGTTCCAAGAGTTCTTTGTTGCTTATTCTGATTATTCTGGTCATCTCATCTTCAGTATCGAGCCAGCGTAGGCAGTTGTTGATGAATGTCTGTAGTTTGTTGGAAATGCTTTTCGTGATACGCCAAGTTTCTGAACCATATAGCAGCACTGACTTGACATTCGCGTTGAAAATCCGGATCTTGTTCATGCTTTATGCTGAGTGCAATAGATCTCCACACTGATTTCAGATTAGTGAAGGACTGTCCTGCTTTTCCGATTCTGACTTTGACACCCTCGTCTGTGTCTGTGCCACCTGTAGTTGAAACAGTGCTTCCTAGATAGGTGAAGGAGGTTACTTCCTTTAAGTTTCTCCCGTCGATGGTGACTGGAGTTTGTTGTTGTTGTTGGAGTTGTTGGTTGGGTATCTTCATTACCTCCGTCATCTCTACGTTCACTTGAAGTCTCGTCTTCGCTGCCCTGCCTCTTCTGCCAACTTGTTAGTTTTCGTCTGTAGATCTTCGATTTTGTGCGACACCAAACATAAATCATAGTTGGCGAAATCCAAATCTTCTAGGATCTTTTCCTCTATCCAGCCATTGTATGCCCATTTTCTCTCCCCTCACGGTTTGCTGCATGATCCGGTCCAGTTGAACACAATCAGGAATATCATTGGTGATAGTAGGCAGCCTTGTTTTGCTCCTGTCTTTACTTCTAAAGCATCACTGAGCTTCCCATTGTGAATCACCTGGCATGTGGCGTCTTCATATAGTTGTTGAGTGAGGTTGGTAAAGGTTTGTGGCACTCCGTAGTGTTGAAGCAACTGCTGAACTTCTCGACCGACGCTGTCGAAGGCCTTTTCAAAGTCGATAAAGTTGAAATAGAGAAATGACTGCCATTCTATACTCTGTTCTATGAAACAGACTAAACGGTCACTGAATAGAAACTGAAATGATGTTGACTAGTTCTCAAGGATGAGCAAACTCCACCAAGAAAGAAAAACGGTGAAAAATGCTTAAGAATCAAGATCTGCATGCTTCTGCAGAAATTACCTGTAACATAAATTTGTTTGGGATAAGTCTTTTAATGTAATTCTACCCATCATTATTATCAGTTTTAGTTCGAATTGTAAGTTCTCAACTAAAGTAATTTTGTCATCTAGTCACTCATTATTGTGCATTCTGTTTGATTATAGTTTCTAACATAAGCTTGTCTTTGGTACCTAGCATGTTAAAGAAATAAGAAAAGGATTCTCTGAGTATGAACAGTGTATCGGCAAATACTTTAGCAATTCAAATGTACAAAATGTTAAAAATTAGTTAAATCACACAATAGAAACTCAATGAATAGATTCTACTTTTAAACAGATATGTATGAACAACACTAAAACAAAACTTACATAATTCAAGTGTGAATTGTTCTTATTCCACTGTTTTTCAAAATCACTTTTCAAAGCACTACAATCATTTGATGCTGGAGGAATGTTCGCTTTCATTTGGTTGTTTATATCATAATGAACATTGTACTTAACATTACTGTTTATTGTAGTCTGAGATATGTATGAACATTTGTTGGGTAATAAATTCGATTTAGGAATTTCTGAGTGCGATAATGAAATGGGTACAGCGTGATTTGAAGGCGCTTAAAGAAAGGAAAAAAAGTGAATTAGTGTTGTATTTACACATATATATTGCTTTCCTCACATTGTGAAAATTATACAGTCAACCTTGAGAAAGAAATAATTTCCATTGGACTACTCAGTTTGAATTCATCCGACTGAAGTTAACTGATGAAAAAATTTGAACACAGATTTCATGTACATTAGTTAAATAATAACTTTTATAAGTATACCTTTGATATTGGCAACATTTCAGCATGGAAAACATTGTGAGTTCTTGTCAAGTCGCATGTAAACCGTCAAAATCAACCTAAAAACTCACACGCAAGTGCATAGTATCACGTTACTATACATCATCGTAGTATACAAGAGAATAGGAAAGAGTGATATCAAAGTAAGCAAAAGTCTATGAGAGGAGAGGTGATTTAAATATTGAGGTTGTTCAAGACATTCAAACTACAGAATACATCAAAGAATGAATACATATAAACATTATTTCTATCTAGTAACAAGCATGAAACGCAGATCCAGGACTTCTGATTGACTTGTACTCATCATTTATCACCAGATGAAGCAAATGTGTACCCACTCGATTAGCTCACTGTATACATAACAACGTACTGACCAATAGAAATCAATCACTATTGATGAATAAAGTGTATTACTGGTGAGAAATTCTTCTACAAATTATTATTACGCAGACATGCCGTAAATTAAATTTGAATCCTTGAATTTTGCTCTAGTTGATGAATCTCACTGCTGTATTGACAACTTATTTGTAGCTTTGATTTCTACTTCGCAATCAATATCCATCTATATCTGTATAAAATATGTCAATGGATACATATATATCCCAGGGGAATTCAAGATTTCCACATGCTCTACTAATGAAAATTCATTTTGTTGTTTTATTGAAATATAATATACTTATTTCTCTTAATTCGCTTCTTTTAAGTAGGCTAATGAGTTGCCAATCAAAACTTTTAATTTACAAAAACACATTTTTTAACTGTAATAAATAACTTCAGTGAAAATTCTTTACCAATGAATGATCAATCTATAAACTATAATCCATATTAATGTTTCTCAAAAATGTCTTTTTGATAGTACTTTCGTTGGATTGTAAGAGTGATAGTTTTCTATCTAATCATCTGTTGTGTGGTAGGCCGACTTATTCATTTAATCCAGCTGATAGTCAAACGTAGGTGGTCTTAACAACTCTACTCTTTTTTCACCTGAATCTGTCTGCGTACACCGTTAATGAATACGGTAAAAAGACGAGGTAAACGTCAATTAAGTGTTTAGATGAATACGGTTTACCTGAAACAATCCATAAACCACGGTTACTTGCACTAGTATTAACCGGTATCTTGAAAAGCTTCATATATTAGGTGCTTATATTTGTTATAGCAATTATTTACTTATTTTTTTCAGGTTTTGAGCAACTAAAGAAAATTATTTGAAATAAATGACGTCATCTTATCTTGCAAATGGTGCTTTCATTGAGAATTTACTTGATAAATTTTAATGTGTTTACTGTTTTGTCATATCTTCAATATCAGTTTGACTATCTGAGGTAGACATGGTTTGACAGAATTGTATTATTAGTCCTGAGTGATGATTGAAGGTGAAATGAAAATTTGGGTGACACAGGATTCGAACCAGAGACCAATGAGTTTCCTGTCCGGTACTCTATCATTTGAGCCATGAGACCCAACTACTGACCAGATTTTCATTTCAATTTAATCACTAAGGGTTTTGTTCAACTGCCATGTAAATTCTTGATGAGTTAGTATCTATTGGTTGTACTCACAGTGGCTGCCCATTGAGGACTTCTCATCCAAATCAACTTGAATCAGAGAGGGGATCATCATACTGATTTTCAATTTGACTAAGATAGCCGTGGTTTGGTGTACTTGTATTGATAGGTCATTGGTTATTTATTTTTGTCTGATTGTACTAAATAAAATTCTGTACAGATCCTTTTGAAGTTGCTATAGTATAGTCCATATTTCAGTGCTTGAAATCAAGGTGCGTTTCGACTAAAATATTTTATAAAATGTTCCTTTTGATTCATTTACGTACACTATGTGAAATTAGAAAATATCTCACAGCATTCGATGATGTATGAAAACTTCAGTCATAAATTATTATTACCTTGACAGAATCTCTGGACTGACTAGAGCGCTTTAAATAACAGATAGTAATCACCTACAAGTTGGCTGTAGAGGTGAGTAATGTTTTAAACTAGTTCCATCTGAACTGAAGGAGAGAGAGAGAGTTTTGTATGCTTCCGCCGAGATGACGGCAAATTTAACGCTTTAAATTCTCGTTCAGATCAATATTGGCAGTTGTTTCTATGAAGACAATAGTCTTTCACACGACTGCTTTAGAAACCACAAAGAAGTTATATGTGACTAAAACACCCAGGAATCATTCACTATGTTTCCATGATTCCTTTTCAAAGAATAAAGTCCTCACACTTGTTGAATATGAAATCACGCAATCTATTTGAGCACCAAATGCATTAGAAATAGTGCAACCGATTCAAAGCAATCACAGACTTCGGATGAAGTTTCCGAGCTATCCTGAACCTTAAGAAAACGATTACTGTCTTCAGTAACCAAACAGAATGGAATGCCTTTCAGTATTATCACCACAACCACTTGTCAACACATTCACTTTTCAAATGATGAGGAGAATACTGGGAGATTGCAGAAAGTAAGATACAGATGTTATAAGTTTTAATTTTTCTCACCCACTTTTGTTAACCAATCTAAAATATCACTTAACGTATACACAATGAAAATCCGTTATCAGGTTTGCTTGCAAATGACGAGACAAAATAAAACATATAGTACCTAGAATGCAGCTAGAATTGGGCAAGAACCTGTGTTTATATAATTGGTATACAAAGGAGATAGTGATTCAAAAAAGGATAATCAGAAACCTAAGCTCCTCTCTCGGTAGAACTCATTTTGTTATGAAACTGGTTTATCTGTGAAGCACTAAGCGGATCATGTATCAGCCTAAGACAGACAAATACTCATCGAACATTTCCTTCAACGGAATCTGTGAATTCATGTATCATCGACAAAACAACTATATCGGAGGAAGAGAAAGATGGGTTATTGTGCGTTTTTCTGAACATGTTTCGAAAAGCCTGTGACTGAACAGTTGGAAATCTGTTACAAGTTCAAATACACTCGATTTAGCCAATTCAGATTACAGTGTAGATATATCTACAAACTTTAAAATAATAAACCAATAAAGAATTTCTGCGTTAATTCATTCTCCTGGATCATTAACAATCAAACACAATAAAAATGACCTCTGTGTTGGGAAAATGTTAATGACTGGTTGAGCAAAATCTTAGTAACTGTATGTTTTCCCAATTACTGAATCCCCTGTATCATGCTTTGTATTCCTGCCTTTGATTTTTAGTATCTGTTCCATATATCTTACGCAGTATAACATTGATCTGTTTGTTCCTATGTGAGAAGTCCATCAGTATTACAATTAATAGTGGTAGTAGTATCATTATGATGACAACAACTATTTTACACCTGAGGTTAAAACTCTAGGATCTTTGTTCCAATTACCTATAAATAAACAAATTTTATCACCCATATCCATAGAGCCAACATTTTTGAACTTATTATAACTGTTATTTATGTCTGTATTTTCAAAAGCAAATGATTACTTTTTCGAAAACAAGTGAATGTTTTCTCACTTTTTCCAACACTAATTCCGTATTTATCTAGGCCGTTCGCAGAAGATGAGAAACCATGAAACAAGTGTGAACTTAGTTTATTCTGCATAACTCGTCCATCTCACTTTGGTGAACATAGCTTAGAGTTTGCAATTTTACGCACAAAGAAACATATCAGTATATAAAATTGCAAAGCTCGATTCAATAAAATAAATTGCACATATTTTATGCACACCCTATCAGTGGGAAGTGAAATAAGGTAAAAAAAACCAAATGATGACTGAACTAAGATGTTCCATCAGTTCTCGAACATAATGACTGTTTTTTAATAAAATAACTTTTCCTGAGTTGGATGGTTGTGGCAATGAAGATCTAAGTAGCAGATATGAGTTTGTATCACTGAAAATCAACCTCGCCTGGTTAACTAGTTTACTAGTTACTAGCCGGTCCTAAGCCCGGGTAAAGAGGGAAGGTTGGGCATAGGGCTAGCAACCCTACCCCGTAAAACAAATCTAACCGCTAAAGAAACTTCAAAGCACAAACAAAATATAAAAAATGAAAACAAACTTATTCCCCGCTGGAATCGGAGAGGCGAAATGACGCCAGTTGGTGAAAGCCTTCGGGAAGCCAATTGGCCGATGTGTCTTCTCTCGATGAAAGCGAAAGTAAACGTGGGGACATGGAATGTCCGCACGATGTTTGAACCCAGTAAGGCAGCCCAGATTGCAAGGGAGATGAGAAGGTATAACATCGAAGTGCTTGGGATTTGCGAAAGCAGATGGAATGGGAGTGGACTCTCCAAACTGTCAACTGGAGAATCAATAATCTACTCCGGTCACCCAGACGCCAACCACGAGCACACTGAGGGAGTGGCTATCATGATGTCCTCAAGAGCATCGAAGGCTCTCATGCAGTGGGAACCAATCTCCTCCAGGATCATGACAGCAAGATTCAACTCAAAAGGAAGAAAGGTCACAATCATACAATGTTATGCACCTACAAATAATGCAGAGCAAGAGAAAAAGGAGGATTTCTACAGACAACTTCAATCAACACTGGACAAGACGTCAGTTGGCGATATCAAAATTCTGATGGGCGACATGAATGCCAAACTGGGAGGGGACAACACGGGAAGAGAACTAACCATGGGTCGAGAGGCACTAGGTGAAATGAATGAGAATGGAGAATTGTTTGCAGAATTCTGCGCATTCAACGATTTGGTGATTGGAGGCAGTGTGTTCAGGCACAAAGATATCCACAAAGCGACATGGATTTCACCAGATGGACACACTAAAAATCAAATCGACTTTA